GGGGGGGGGGGTCTACTCATGTATACGCATGCCAAGACCGTTGACCTCGCATCCCTTCAACGCCGCGAGGGAGCGATATGGCGGGTTTGAAGCGAGAGGGGAAGGGAGAGGGGACTACTTGCTGCCGGTGCCCAATGAACGGAGGCGAGAGGGGGGGGACGGGGACTGCTTGCTGCTGCTGCTGCTGCTCGCCGAACGGTGGTGTTTCGTTGTTGCTCGTTGGTTTCCCGTAGTTCGCGCGTGTTGTTTGGCTTGTGCCACCGGCCGTGTCGCGGACGTGCTCGGGAATGAGAAGAATACTCGGTCGTGTCTGTGCTTCGCGCAGCGTGTGCGACGTTCCGTCACTACCGTTGTATGCAAAGCACATTTACATGTACATCTTCCCCGCACGCTCACCCATGCCGCAACAATGCCGTGGTTCAGCTGTACATACCCCCCTTCCTTGCTTGACATCCACCTGATGCGGTTCGAACATTTGATCGGTCGTTCTTGTCCATTCTCCCGAACTCATGTTTTTGCTTGCAAACAGGCCAAGTGGAATCCGATCCTGTGCGCCCTGATGCTCACCCGCGCCGCCTTGGACGTACATTGGAGCCCATCAGGTGGGAGGACCAAACACGGGTGTATATTGTGTGTACAGCCGAAAAAATCGATGTGGCGATGGGGGGGGCGCTGACGGTGTTGCAAACTAGGCGCATGCGTGTTGTGCACGCTTCGTGAAGGCCGTGGCTATTTTGAGTCGTGCCACCGGGTGTTGTCTTTGTGGCAGGGACAGCTATTTTAAGGCGAACTGAGTCGTGACACCGGGTGTTGTTTCCTTTGTGGCAGCGACGGCTATTTTGGGGCGGACTGAGTCGTGACACCGGGTGTTATTTGTTGGTGGCAGGGACGTCTACATATTGGCGAATGTCGAGTCGTGACACCGGGTGTTGCTTGTTTTGTTGGTGGCAGGGACGAAGTTTGCGTGCTCAAGCGGGGCGAAGACCATCGCCGTCAGTCGATTGGACACTTCGCAAGGGAGCGATTGGTACGTGAGCAAGCTCATCAAGGGTCACAAGTCAACGGTGAGCGAAAGCACCAGCGCGCTTCGAATGGCTACGTTTGACGCAGCTCGTACGGCAGAATAGTAAGGCCGTGTACTCAGCGTACGACTACACACAACAGTGCGGCTGCAGCAGACGTACTGATTTTCGCAGCCTCTCGCTGGCGACTACCTGTGGGCGTTGCCGTTGGAGCGTCGTCGAACGCAACGCACAGGCGCGCGGTCGATTGTGGAAAGACCGATCGCCCCACCGCCGAGAGGGTGCTGTTGAAACGCTGTCGACACGTGCAAGGAGGGAAGAATCTAGACGGGATATCCCAAAACATCCCTTGTCGGCAGTATTGGCAGCCTATTGGTCGTGGCGCATTCGATGTTCGAACAACCATGGATGGCACACCTGGGCATTCGCCCGCACTTTGACAGTGTTATTGGCTCTCCCCTCTCTTTTTCACCCTTCATTTTGCTTCTCTTCTACAGGTACTACTCTGATCCCACGCGCCCTGCGCTATGATTTGTGGCTGCCCACCTCTCATGGGCTGGTGTGTGTTTGCTATTTTCCACGGGGTTGATCCCTCTCTTGGTGCTCATCTAATTGTTACTACTTTCGTCGTGGTCGAATCGATTCCCCGCGCTTGCCATGTCTGCCTGCGTACAGGTCCAGAAGGTGGCATGGCATCCTAACGGTCTAGTACTTGCTACCGCGTGCACGGACTTCAAATGCCGGGTTGTGTCGGCGGTGGTTGAGGAGGTGCGTCCTTTCCGTGGCGTGACCGCACGCACAACCGTCTTGTTCTCGAAGGTTTACGTGGTCGGTCGCTTTTCGGCCATCTCGGTGGCCAACAGACTAGAAGAGACGCACACCTAATACGCCGAGGAGGCTGGTAGCACATGTCTGGGCGTGGAGCAGCGTCGAGGCAAGCTGTTCAGAAAGCAAGCAGAAATCTCGTGGTTTCCATACGATGCGTCTGACTGTTGGCAATCCGTAAAGGGGTGGTGTCTTGTCCCCCTCAACATGCTGGCTTGTCTGCAAGACCGGCCGTTCAAGCCGCGGCTAAAAGTGTCACGCGCAACCTGTACAACGATGCCCGCCCTCCAACTGCTTTGCGTGCCTAAGGTCGCATGAGACCCCACAGCCCCCGGGTCGATTTGCAAGACCCCATTACATGACTCCACAAACGAAGAGGACGTACGACTCAAACGATTACTTTTCGGAACCCTGTCGTAGAGAAAATTCCAAGGTCGACATTTTGGGCACCTCCACTTACTGCTTTTGATGCAGAGTAGATGGAGCCACAGAAATTGGCACATGGGACGTGGTATCGTACGTTACCTACGGTACACGACTGCGCGGCCTGGCCCGTTGCGCACACTTGCCAGTATGCAGCCGTGTGTGTGTGCTTGTTTCCGTGGCAACCAGGTGGATACAAACCCCGACCCGAGACCGTTCGGGACTGTCAAGCCCTTCGGAGAGGCCTACCACCAGTTCTCTTGCGGAGGCTGGGTGACGGCGGTGGCTTGGTCGCCCTCTGGCTCCATCCTGGCGTATGCGGGTGAGCGGTGCTAGCGTTGTTGATTGTACGTCGTGAACCCACCCCCCGCGAAGACACACACCCCCGCCAACGACTGCTGTAACGTTTGACATTTGTCCTCAGCAGCAAGGTGATACGGATATTCGGAAGAAGAGGCCCACTTTTACGATAGGCGGGAATCGAACCCACAACGCATCCTCGCTTTGATCAGATGAATAGGACATCCCACCAGACTACCGTTCATTAAGTTCGTCTGACGAACACACTTACACGCGAGACCTATGTGCACACCCCGCTTTCGAATTTGGATTCCCAGAGGTTCGCTGGTGAATTTCCTTGCAGACGAGCGACCGAGCCCTGCCGCTGAAACCTTTCTTTCTTGTGCGTGTGTATGATTTTCTGCCTCTCCGTACGCAGGTCAGGACTCGACCATCCACTTCGTACACTTCGACCCCAGCGGGGCTGTTGGCGAGCAGAGGGTGAGGTACGCCCTCCTCCCCGTGTCCAGCCTGGCTTTCCTCAGCGAGAAGGCGGTGGTCGGGGGGGGGCACGACATGAACCCCTTGGTGTTCACGGCGAACTCCTCCGGACAATGGTGAGATGCTCAAGAACGATGTATGTCTCTAGCGCCAGCAGAGATTGCGGCGTGTTTTCGTGTTTTCTAGAGGGCGTTGGAGGGAACGGGGGAAAGAGTGGGCGGGGTTGAGAAGCGGGCTGGGGAAAGGCTTGGCTGCGAGTTTCTGCCTCTCGACAACGTACCTGGCGTGGTTCTCTGTACTGAGAGCTCTCTGGCGGCTGGATGGACGCAAATATCTACCGCCCGGGATCTGACCGCCAGCACGCCCAAAAGACTCAGACCAGAAATTGGTCCAGAAATACTCACGTTACGAGCCGTGCCCCCCCCCCCCCCCCCCCCCCCCCCCCCCCCCCCCCCCCCCCCCCCCCCCCCCCCCCCCCCCCCCCCCCNCCCTCTCTCGCCGACCGACCGTCCACCACCCACCTGTCGTGGGTAACCCGCTGCTTTGGCTGGGGCTCCTCCGTCAGGTCGTTCCTCCGTAGGCTGGACGAGAAGTCCACCGGTCCGGCGAAGGCGGAGGGGGCCGTGAGCTCCATGTCCGCGGCGAGAGCGATGTTCCAGGCCAAGACCACCCGGGGTCAGGCGTCCTCCGGCGGAGCGGGCAAGGACTTGTGGACACAACACGCCAACGCCATCGTCGGCATCGAGGGCATGGGGCGGGCGGGAGACCCGACTTGTTCGAAGCTGTCGACGTGCGGTGAGTTTGTTTTGGGGCGCGCGCGCCCCCGTCGGCTTTTGTGTCCTCTCGCTCAGGCGAAGACAAGGAAGATGAGCGGAAGGCGCAGGGTTCGACTGAGGGCGGAGGGACACACACTGATGGGACGAACGGGGGTGTGTGTCCTGCGCTGTGCTTTAGTTTGGCGGCGACAGTGGCGGCGGCGATGGTTCCGACGGTGGGTGGTGGCCGACATATTTTGTTGAAAGCGGCCTGCTGTGTACACTTGCTTGGAGGAAGCGTGTCATGTGCGGCTGGATGGGCGGCGGAAGCTGTCGATAGCAAACACGTCGCACCATTTTCCGAAACACTTGAGCAAATGCTTGACATGATTTCGCCACCCCTTTGCACCTTTGGCTATCTCGGCGAAGCTGCTGCTCAGATCGCCGCTGCCGTTAGAAAGCGGCGACCCGCGCACGCAACAGCAATCCCCTCGCCTTGCTGTCGAAGCTTCCCCGTGAGTTCGCTGGTCATGTGTACGCAGGCGCACCTTCTTCGCTTCGGTTGCTTGACCGTTTTCCCGATCTGCGCCCCGCGCTTTGCTGTTGTTCCGTGCGCGTTTTCCTTGACATGCCCTTTTTTGTGCCTTTTTCGCCATTCGGTCCCTCCACCTTTGGGTAGGCTTAGACGGAAGGCTGGTCGTCTGGGAGATCCCCACCCTCGACATCGACATGCAAGCCCTTGGCCTGTAGGGCCTCGTGTGGGGGGCTGTTGCTGCGTAAGAACTCGACGCGCTGCCGGTGCAAGAGCTTGAACTCTGTGTTAGCCGACTTGTTGCGACCCGGAGGAACTCTTCGCTTTTCCCGTGAACCAGCATCTCCTTGGTCCTGCTGGCATGTTGGTGTTGACCCCCATCATGTGTGTGTTTTTTCACGTGTGCTCTGCATACATAGGCGTTGTACGGATGGTTCGGCGAGATGTCGACTAGAAATTGCACTGCCCGTAAGTGACCGCCAGCTCCGGTGTGGAAACTGGCGCGCCATCCTTTTCGCGAGGGGCTGGATGAAAGTTCGGTGTTAGGGATGCCAGCGGCGCCTTCCGTCGTGTTGTATGGCCTCCTTCCGAGGGCTGGTTTTGTTCGTTGATTTATCTCCTGAAACTTTCGGCGGACACCCAGTTTCTTTTGCCAACGTAGGTTTCCTGACCTTGAGGAGGGCATTATGTCTGTGTTTGTGTCTTGTTAGAGGACCCATCGTCGATACAGCAGAAGTGTACCCGGAAAGTATGCCAACCTGGCTTTATTTTTCCTCTTTTTCGTCGTTCATCGTCGGTCTCAGTCTCTCCGAGCTCCGGCACGGCTTTTCACCCCAGGGCTGAGCCTGAAACAAGCTGCTTCCTGGTTAGTGGTGTAAGGCCGGGGCGATTAACTTGTACCTGCGGCGGTGGCGGGCTTGACGGCGATCGGGTGTTCCGTACGGGTGGCGGTCGACCCCCTTGAACCCCCCGATGCAAGTGGCAATACATCACCTTCGGCCCCTCTCTACAACAGGGGGAAGGGGAAGAGTCAGATTCTGTAAGAAAAGCGATAATTTTCACTATTTTGGGAATGAATGTTGTACATGCATGTCTGTTACGTTTCCCCCCTGTCCGTGAGGCCAAAAAGGTAGAACGAAATCGTCAACGTCGTATCGATCGGGTAAAACTTGGGCAACCTTCTCAACAATGCCGATCGAGAGGGCTAAATGCTGCCCCACCAGCAGCGTGGAGTTCGCCAAGCAAGGCGAATTTCGGAGTTTCTGTGTTTCTTTTTCTTGCTGCTGTGTGTTGTTTCATGATGCGTGAGTGCGGCGATGATATGTAGACTCGTGGTAGACGATACGCCAGACGACATACAGCGTGGTGGGTGTATAGCACAAGCCGAGCACAAGCATGTATGATCATGGGCCATCATCATGAGGTCCAAGAAAAGCTTGAGAATATGTGAATACTTACACAAGGGTAGTGTACCGGCTGTGCGATCAGTGTACGCAGATAGGCAGGAAGAGAGCCGTGTAAACTCTTGCACCTCTGATATTTTTCAAATCAGCAAGATCGTGTTACATTATATGCCACGCACCGATCGTGGATGGATTCCGTTCCACCCTGACACCATGTGCATGTAGCGATCAGGCAGGATAGGCGGCGCCCCATTCTCACTCAGTGGTATGCATGCTGCTGTGGGATCGAACGCCTAGTTCGACAACTAACTACATTGTGTACCGACCACTCCTATTGAGTATATTATTATCTCCGAGGTTTCCGCGAGATGGTGAGATTTTTAGTTCCGAAATCCTGATGCTAACTTCGCTGCCGCAGGGGTGGGTGCCGACGAGCGTTTGTTTACGGACGTGGCCGTAGGGGAAGATTTCAACAATAACATCGTCTCAAAGTAACACCCAGTAGTCTAGACTGCTGCGGTACATTGCCGCTACGACTGCTGCTGTTGCTTGTAGTCTACACCAAGACACGCCTCGACCGTCACTGCTCTGTGAAGACTTTTAGCACACACACACTTGAAGGGATCCCTTCGAACGCGGGGAATGTTTCAACGCTTGAAGGGTACTTACGTATTTAGTGGCATAGTCTAGGCCTATTTAGAGGTTATAGACCACCAAAGCAAGCAAGAAGAGCGAAACATGTGTCTCAGCAGCGGTACGCCACCGAAGATCTGAAATCATTGATCATGCCCATAAACAACATGGAGAAGAATGTACTTCCATGAGACTGGTGTCCGCCCTTCAACCGCAATTACACCAGAGCACGTCTTACTCAAGGGATGTAAGTGCTTGTACGTTTCATGGTGTTCGACGAGGGAGAGAGAGAGTGAACAAACCCTGTCCTTCCGCCTGCTCGGAGCCATAAGCATGCGAACACTCTCGGAGAGGGAGAGGTCACCGCGGAACCCGCCAGCCTTCGAAAATCACGAAAGATTCCCGTCCGTGACATGCACCCGTCGTGTTGGCGAAAGATCCGAAACGGGGCGATGATGATCTGACTTACGCACATCATGCATACAGACCCCGCTCGACTTTTTTTTTTTTTTGCTCTGCTCTTTGGTATGGTACGACGTCGCCCGCCACATCTACAGCAACTCTTTATCTTTCCCCCTGCCTCAAAGAAAACCTGCTCAGCACGTGACGACACATTCCACCCGCTTTCCGCGCCACGAGGAAGAAGACGCCAAATCCGGAGAGCAGCAACACCCCAGCCTGCACACCACCGCGGCTTTCGCAGCGCCCTCGATTTGTGGAGCGAGCACGTTTGGTTGCCGAATTTGCGTGCCACGCACGTGGTCATCGGTGTGGCAAGAAGACTGATCAAGCGGGAAACCCCGGAAAACACGACTCCACACCATTTATAGCACGAGCGTCGGCACGATGGTGGAGGGGGACAAGGAGCACAAGGCCAACAAGGACGCGGGGAGGCGCGCTACTCTAGTGTTAGGTAGGAACCCTGCCGCCCGCCCGCCCGCCCGCCCGCCCGCCCGCCCGCCCCGGTCGCGTGCTTTGGAAGAGGATCGATCGACGCTCCTGGCCGGGCTCCCTCGCTGTTGATGTTTTTGATCGCTCTCTCTCTCTCTGTCTCGATCTCTCCCATCATCACCCTCACTCCGCGTGCTCTCGACGAATCTCCTGTCCTTGTGTGCGTGGTTCCCAGTTTCCAAGTATCCCACGCCGGGCTCCAGCAAGACGCGGTTGATCCCGGCCCTGGGGGAGGCGCTCGCGGCGCAGCTCGCGATGGCCATGCTCCAGGACTTGTTGAAGCGTTTTTCGATAGAGGTGAGGCAAGCAAGGGGCAAAGGCAGAAGGGATTCTTTTATATGGCAGGCTATTGGGTTGACACCAGTGTACCGAGTTCGTACGCCCGGGTTCTTTCATGAACACGTGTGTTGCGTTTGCTCGGATGCCCGGCGACTCGCTCTTGCGCTCGTCAACAGATCGAGAAGAGGGGGAAGGTGTTTGCTGCCGAGGTGGCACTCTGCACGGGCACCTCAGCAGTAAGAGCAGGAGAGATCGGCATCGTTTCTTGCTCGTTTTTGTGCTTGTCTGGTTGAGCAAGCGCCTATACGTAAAGAGAGACAAAGACGCCGAACGGTTTGCGATCAGCCCGTTTTGGTGGCGCGCACAGCATGAGCGCGTTGCCTCTTCGTCCAACTTGCTTTACCCCAGACTGCAGAAGTCCTACCCCCAGCTAGCCGGCTTGGTTACGCACGCGTAAGCAACAGCCCTCGGAGATGCACGCTGTCTTCATTTTCTCTCTTGTACATGCGAACGTGGACACAGCGGCAGTGGAAAAAATAATAAGGGAGACCCTCAACCACACTGATAGTTGTTCCCAGCATAGGAAGAACCGCATTTATTCTCAAATTCGTTGTTTTTTTAACATGCCGGAATTAGTGTACGAAAAGTGTTGTCCTTCGTGTGATTGGTACGTATCGTGAGCTATTATTGTTTAATGCGAAGAAAAACAACAGACAACAACAGTTGTCTGGCCGTGTATGAAAACGTGATTTGGTGTGGTTGCACCTTACGCCACGACATTCCTGGTGGTGTAGAATACTGCTGTGCATACCCGGCAATGTTTGTAGCGTTACTGCTCGCGTTGAACTTTTATTTCAAAGACATCCGATCGCAAACCTCCAAACCACCTTCAATTGTGAATACGCAGAATGAGCTCGTTTCTTTCGCCTGCAATGAACAGACAGCAGATCATGCACTTGAAAACTTACTTGCAGTTTGGTTCTCGTGTTTCTGGGGCTCTTTTCCGTGGATGTAAATGAATCTCCTTGTTCAACAACATCGTTGATGCATACTACTGGATATTAACACATTCCACATGACGCATACGTAAACATGCGCATGAGATGCGTGTGCCCTTGTACGCTAGCTGGTTTTGTTCAGGCTGGCATCACTGCTCTGAGCGTATCTAGACTACCCGTCACAGATTAAGTTATGTAACCACTGGACTGGAAAAAAAATTCTCCCAAGATTCAAAACAAAGCTAACGCTTGCCCTTGCCACCCCTCGCTGCTGTAAAAGATATGATGGGATGCAAATCCACATGGCATCATGCCGAGTCGGACTGGTACAAGCTGTTGGTGTAGCAATTACTATTGCTGTACAAAGGTTCGTTCCTTGTTTGTAATCTTCATTTTCTGACAAGATGTATATATACCGGCGGGAAGAAAGTTGTTCGTTTTCCCCGACCATTAAACCGGGCGTCGTGCAGCGCGTCAGGATCATCACGCCTACGAAGCCTCATCGCCGTTTACGCCCACGGTGGTTAGTGCTGTCGGAACGCATGGTTAATGCAAATACACCGAGTGAGTAAACACACTCTCTTTGCTCTCTTTGCTCGACCACCGTCGTGTCTCTGGTTCGGTCACCGCCGCCGTCGGCGCCGTCTCATACATGCGTTCGTGCGTCATTGTAAATGACGCTCGTCCTTGAAATTGCCTCTCTCACCCCCGCCCGCCCCTCCCGGGCAGCACTCTCTCGCTCTGCTCTAATATATTTTAAAGCAGCCGAACGGCGGAACTTAGACCCGCCAGGTGTTTTCTCTCCTGCTGGTGAGAACAATCCCCGTGACATCGAAGGAATATCAACAGTTTGGAGCGGGTGTGGTGTTTTTTTCTCTTTGCAGTAGCACATCAACCATATGATAAACGATGACAACGCTGCAGCGCCGGGCTGAATGGGCGACAACCTCGAAGCTTTCAAGCCCCCCTGAATTCTGTGTTGGGAATGAATCAACGTTCCGTTCCGAAAGACACACGACGAATAGGCGCGCGTCCTGTGATTTGTCTGAGTCGTTTTTTGACGCTGTACTTGTAGTTGCCGGAACACAAAATGGCGGTAAGATGTGCATGTGAGCTACACTGGAATGCACTTCGCTCTCCGCGTCCACTCCATGTTGACGCTTGCGGAACAAAAATACACTCACTACAAGAGCGGGAGCGCGATGGAAGCCTGAATGGCATGCTCCTCCGTTGTGGTACACTCGCAGACACATAGGGGAGGGTGCACTTGGGGGGGGGGGGGGTT